AGGGGAGCTACAGATCATTAAACCGTGGTTGGGGCCCCTCTTTGGCCGGGGCCCAGTCCAACCGTCCTCCCACATCAAGAGAGCTGAATTTTAACTGTTTTTATTTATTGCTTGTATCATGTGTTCAGTTTCAATTGCTCTGCGGGCTGGATCGCTACCAGCTCTTTTGTTCCCCCCGCGAGCTCGTTTCAGGGCTGAGTGAGATTTCCAAAACACTCCTCGTTTAAGCAACTGTCTCCCACACCAAGACTCGTCACGGGAACACACCAGCACGCTCAAGCCACCATCCTGCACATGAGAAGGAATGGGCATACTGGCTGGAAGGTAAAAAAACTCATATCTTGGGGAATGGTGGGGAAGTTGTTAAAGACCCCTCTGAGTTCATTGGGAGAAAGCCCACTTGAGCCCTGACCTGGACAACTTTGTCATATTGGGGGGGGGGGGGGAGTGTTAAAAAATGATCTGCTCCGGGTGTCGGATACGCTAGGTATGCCACAGGAGCCGTGTACCTGATGCAAGTCAGGTAAAGGAATTAAAAAAAAATTGGGGAGGGGGCAATCAAAGAGACTGCTCTAACGCAGGAAAAGAGGCAGCCAATAAGGGGTGAGACAAGTACACCAGGAACGACCTCCACTTGTAGTGTGATGAGCGGAGAACATACTTTAACAGGGATTGCGCCAGCCCCCTTGAGTCTGTTGGAGGACTGCAGTGCTTCAGCACATGTGCAACCCCCTCCCCCCAAAAAGCAGAAAACCAATCCTCAGTGTTAATGTCAACAGACAGGACAGTGATGGGGGGGGGAAGACAAAACAAAACTATGCAAGTGTGAACTGATCGCACCAATAGTGCAATCATTAGAACTACCACGACACCCAGAAAAACCCGAAAGGTGGTTGCAGTATGAAAAACGCCTGAGTTTCAAACTGTGGCACAACACAAGCCTTCCTGGGCATGCTGAGCAGTTCTTTCTGTCCTGAGCCCTTTCCTCCCACGCCAAGCTGCTTGGTACCTGAACAGGAGGAGGAGGAGGAGCAGAAAGAAGAAGAAGAGGAAGAAGGAGGAGGAGGAGGAAGAAGAAGGAGGAGATTGGATTTATACCCCGCCCTTCACTACCCGAAGGAGTCTCAGAGCGGCTTACAAACTCCTTTTCCTTCCCCTCCCCACAACCCTGTGAGGTGGGTGGGGCTGAGAGAGCTCTGACAGAAACTGCTCTTTCTCAAGAACAGCTGTGCCAGAACTATGGCTTGCCCAAGGTCATCCAGCAGGTGCAAGTGGAGGAATGGGGGAATCAAACCCAGTTCTCCCAGATTAGAGTCCGCGCACTTAACCACTACACTATCCTGTCCAGCACCAATCCAACTGCCTCTGTAGCTCTGTCCTTGGGAGCATTCCTATCAAACAGGCAAGCCAATCAGCCAAAAGTTTGGCTATGCTGCTTAAACCAGGGCTCGACAAATCCCAGGTGCCACGGAGCCTAGAAATTTCCCTGCTGTGTTGAGTATTTCCTGCACCGATTTTACCGTAGGATGTCTTGAGAATTCTCAGAGGAAGTACAAAGGACTGGATCCAACCAGTCTTCAGTGAGTGAAGCGGGAGGCCAGAAGGAAGTCTGGGACTTGTATGGACAGAACCCAAGTGAAGCAGGGGTTGTTATAAGGATGGGAATTGGCTGGCTGGATCCAACCCAACGTTTACTTATCTTTTCACATCAGAATGTTTTGTTGCATAACTTAAAAATAAATGTGCATAAAGTCATTGTCCTTTCTTGTCTATATGGAAACTTAACTTTACACCACTTGGTGGTGGGTGAATTCATTTAGAATCATAAAATCATAGAATGTTAGAGTTGGAAGGGATCTTGCAGGTCATCTAGTCCAACCCCCTGCACTCTGCAGGAGCATAGCTGAAAGATAGACCTACAACATACCCGAAAGATGGTTGTCCAGCCTCCGCCTGAAAACATCCAGTGTAGGAACATCCTCCACCTCCCGAGGCAGTCTGTTCCACTGCTCAACCACTCTTACAATTAGGAAGTTTCTCTGATATTTAGCCTGCATCGACTCCCTTGTCATTTCCAACCATTAGATCTAGTCTTGCAATCCAGAGCAAGAGAGAATAGATCTGCTCCATCTTCTACAGAACAGCCCTTCAGATACTTGAAGACTGCAATCATGTCCCCTCTAAGCCTTCTCTTTCCCAGGCTACACATACCCAACTCTTTCAGCCTTTCCTCATAAGACTTGGATTCCAACCCTCTCACCATCCTGGTTGCCCTCTTCTTAACCACCGGCTTTCTACACCACCTCTAATATTCTATTCAAAGGGGATTTTTAAAGCAATAATGGATTGATGAGAAATTTGTTAGAGGTTAGCTTTTTGTTGTGACAGTGATTAACCGGGGTTAGCCCTATTTATTTATGTACTACAACACTTTTGTTTGAGCTTTAATAAAGCTACGAGAAACCGTTAAGAGGTTAGGTTTAGGTTTTGTGGTAGCAGTAATTAGAAAATTTGGTGGTTAAAACGCGAAACCCTAAAGGGTGAAAAAAATGAGCCTGTCTCCTAAATGTTTGGGCTGTCTCCTACAGCCAAAGAAAACAGGTCAAAGCCTCACTTAGACCAGCATCAATAAGACTCACATTCCCCAACATACACCTCTTGGACCCCCTGTTCTCTTGGCACCCAGGCCACCAAATCTCACAGCCCTATAAGGCTTCTTTGCCTATCTTTAGGATACCCATCGATCTAGCTCAGTCTGGGGCAAGTGATGCTCTGTCTTCTTGGTGCTGGGGGGGGGGGAAGAGTGGGAGGGCTTCTAGTGTCCTGGCCCCACTGGAGGACCTCCTGATGGCACCTGGTGTTTTTGGCCACTGTGTGACAAAGTGTTGGACTGGAGGGCCCACTGGCCTGATCCAACATTGGCTTCTCCTATGTTCTTATAAGGGGGAATTAGATAAGCATATGGCGCAGAGGTCCATCAGTGGCTATTAGCCACAAGGTATAGATAGGAACTCTCGGTCTGGGGCAAGGGATGCTCTGTATTCTTGGTGCTTGGGGGAGGCAACAGTGGGAGAGCTTCTAGTGTCCTGGCCCCACTGCTGGACCTCCTGAGGGCACCTGGTATTTTTGGCCACTGTGTGACACAGAGTGTTGGACTGGATGGGCCATTGGCCTGATCTAACATTGGCTTCTCTTATGTTCTTATATGGAGCAGAGATCCATCAGTGGCTATTAGCCACAAGGTATAGATAGGAACTCTCAGTCTGGGGCAAGTGATGCTCTGTATTCTTGGTGCTTTGGGGGGGGGCAACAGTGGGAGGGCTCCTAGTGTCCTGGCCCCACTGCTGGACCTCCTGAGGGCCCCTGGTATTTTTGGCCACTGTGTGACAGAGTGTTGGACTGGAGGGGCCATTTGGCCTGATCCAACATTGGCTTCTCTTATGTTTTTAGCTGATGGTTATCAGTACGCTGATTAGCTGTCGTTTTGGTAAAAACGATCAGACTGAACATATAAAATTTTCCACCACCAGCAGATTTCGCCATTCCTTGCCTACAATACAGTGGTTAGTGTTAACATGTAGCCCAAACCTTCATGTGGGCAAATAAACTTATTTCCTCTCTTTCGGGCTCCCTTCCAAACCCCTGCTTGCTTTTAATATATGACATACAAACATCCCACAACCCCGCTTTTAAAATAAGCATGAGCCAGAAGGATCCCCAGAGGACATTCCTAGGGTCAATATTTTGCCTTTTTAAAAAAATGTACGCTTAAACCAACACAGAGCAGCTCGCTAGGATTTGTGAGAATGCATACATCTCTTGGGGGGGGGGGACTGCGTCTGAATGAAATTAAGCATGTCCTTCTAAATGGAACAGATACACTGCAGGGCTGGTTTCTTTATGCCTTACTCCATTCCTGTTACGAGCTAAAGCCACAGAAAAATTTAATTAAATGACTGCCATCCAGAGTCATGTGCAGTGTCCCCTCTAAGCTGAGTTAGTGTGAGCTAGGTCACAGTTTTTTAACCTCCGGCTCACACATTTTTGTCTTAGCTGAGGAAGGATGGCTCCAGAGCAAACGAATTTATGCAGCAGTCAAAACACTCACTCACAACTTTAATGCCAGAAGCTCACAAAGTAGAATTTTTGCTCACAAGACTCCACAGCTTAGAGGGGACACTGGGACTCATGTGGCACCTTAAAGACTAGCAGATCTATAGTGCCAGCAGCTTCCACGAGCCAGAGGAAGGAGAACAAAAAACTGACCTGCTTACCCTTCAAGTGCATTCTGGGAATGGCACAGATTAGACTCCAGAACTACTCAGTGAATTATCCTGAGACAGACTAGTGAAGCAAAACAGGGACTGCTAGTGGGTCCCTCACTCGGGTATCACCACCCGTTCAGTTCTCAGCCCCACAAAAAAGAACTCCTTGACAAAGGAAAACATATACAGTTTGGATCAAAATGTGATAAAAACCATGACCTGGTGGTTCGCATTTATCAGGCACTGCAAAACATCCTACAAAAGAGATTAGAAAGACTTTCCTTTTTGCATATTAGCACTGGTTGTTCAACGGCCCCCAAATCTGACAAACCGTCCTTGTTAAACACATAGGCGTGCACTTGCTTGTTCTTTTCCCCCCATTGTCCCGCTTTTCAGAGACAAGTTTTCAAAGAACTCTGGAATTTGTTTCTGAAGAACAAGAAGACCTGGAGACCCTGTGGGCCAGAGCGGCCTGTGGAGACAAGGGCCAGAAGAGAGCAGCCCTGAATACAGGACACGGAAGTGAACAGAAGCACTTCACTAGAAGAGCCAGCACAGTGCAGCGGTTAAAGTGCTGGACTAGGAGCCGGGAAACCCAGGTTCAAATCCCTCTTCTGCCATGGCAGCTTGCTGGGTGACCTTGGGCTCGTCACACACTCTCCGCCTAACCTACCTCACAAGCTTGTTGCAGCCAAAGAGTTTTGATTGTTTGGAGCAGGAGGAGAGGACCTTTACCTGAGCCACTATATGACGATGAGGAAGGGGTGCGCCTCGAAAAGCTTTTCACGGCAAGACTCTGGCCTCGCTGTTTTCTCCGCCAAGCCGTTCGGCACTTGGAGTCTATGCTCTGCTTGATCCGGTACCAGTCAGATTCCGTGATGCCAAACTTATAAAAAAGGTGACCTACAAGGCAAAGGAGACACAGAAAAGGATAGCACACAGTTTAAAACCTACAGTCACTGTAAAAGTGACAATCCATCTGTGGAGTTTGCATCACTGCACTGGAGCTTTAAAAATGCAAGATGGCGCCCTGACCTGGATAGCCCAGGCTGGCCTGATCCCGTCAGATCTCGGAAGCTACGCCGGGTCGACTCTGGCAAGTCCTTGGATGGGAGACCTCCTTGGAATACCAGCAGTCGGGAGGCGGGGGCAGGCTTTAGTCAGCAACCTCCCTGAATATCCTCCAGGCCCCAAGCAGGGGTCAGTCACCAGAGGCCGCCATGACTTCCAGGTGCACACACATGCACATATGAAAAACACACAAAAAAGCCCCAAAAATGCAAGATAGCCATCTAGTCAAAATTCTGCCACTGTCCAGCACCTATCAACAGAGGGCATGGTTCCATAAGCAAAGCCGCAGGCCTGGAAGGGAATTCATCTAGACAACTAGCTGTACTACACTGGTTGTTTAACGGTCAGGTATTCCTACATGGAATCCTGGGAACAACAGTTGGGAGTGGCTGCGGTGAGTTTCCCTTGCCCCCAGGATTCCATGGGAGTAAGAATGACCATTACAACCAGACTTTGACATCCAGTGTCCTTCCAGATCGGGATTCCTTCAGGTTACACCAGACATGTCAGAACCGCTTGCAGACAGCCTTTTTCTTTAAAAGCGCCAGGGAAGGAAACATCACAACTTTGCGGGGAAATCTGATTGCTCTCGTCACCTCCCAGGAACCTGTCCTCAAAATACTCCTACCATTCAGAAGCATTTTGTAGCATCTGACCAATTACGATACCACAGGGGGTCTGGAGCAGCTCACACACAAACAGAGGCTGCTTGAAACTGAAACCGTTGCTTCCATCTCAGCAGCAGTTCCATGTGCAGCTGGCTGTTTCCTCAGAGCATGCAAAATAATATCTTTCCCCCATGGAACCTCAAACTATCTGCCACCTAAGACTTGCCCACACAGCATAAGAGAAGCCATGCTGGATCAGGCCAATAGCCCATCCAGTCTGACACTCTGTGTCACACAGTGGACAAAACCCAGGTGCCATCAGGAGGTCCACCAGCATAAGAACATAAAAGAACATAAGAGAAGCCATGTTGGATCAGGTCAATAGCCCATCCAGTCTGACACTCTGTGTCACACAGTGGCCAAAACCCAGGTGCCATCAGGAGGTCCACCAGCATAAGAACATAAGAGAATGTAAGAGAAGCCATGTTGGATCAGGCCAATGACCCATCTGGTCCAACACTCTGTGTCACACAGTGGACAAAACCCAGGTGCCATCAGGAGGTCCACCAGCATAAGAACATAAGAGAATGTAAGAGAAGCCATGTTGGATCAGGCCAATGGCCCATCCAGTCCAACACTCTGTGTCACACAGTGTCCAAAAATACCAGGTGCCATCAGGAGGTCCACCAGTGGGGGCCAGAACTCCAGAAGCCCTCCCACTGTTGCTCCCCAGGCACCAAGAAGACAGAGCATCACTACCCCAGACAGAGTGTTCCATCCATACCTTGTGGCTAATAGCCACTGATGGACCTCTGTGCCATATGTTTATCCACCATAACACATGGATATTCCTCCGAGAGGCAACTGATAGCACCCTGAGGAGTGTGGCTAGTAGACGGTGTTTCTTTTTTGTGTTTTCCCCATTGCATCCTGATTCCAGGGCAGGAGTTGTCTGGAACTGGGGAGCAGGAGGATTCCACAGTCGGAATGGGCAACGCTTGCCTCCCTGGGGTTTTTGTGGCCAGTGCCATGAAGCCTGACAACGGCTTAAATGCAGGGTGGGTTTAAAAGCCGGGCAGCCACAGCACATATACAAGTCTGTTCAAATGTGGTAGGAACCCGTGGTTTGCGCTTCCAGAAGAACACGGTCAAAAATAAATGGAAAACTAATGTATTAGACATAGTCAGCATTTCAGGCGTTCCCGGTGAAAACCCATTGAGCTATTTTAATGAAAAAGTCATGTCACAAGACCCACAAAAGTGGCCCAGCTTCTTACTAGTAATTGCAGAAGGGCACGTGCCCAGTTGGACTCGGCCAACGCACCACAAACAGGTCAGCAGACCCAAACACACAGTCTACGAGTGCAGGAGCCACAGCACCCAACTGCCAGGATTTGCGCCGGGAATGGATTTCTAGTGCCACAGCTAAGGAGTGGTTTGAAAAAAATATAAATATTTTTGCCAGATAAAGTCTTGAGCATAGTGGTGAAGGGGGGGGGGGGATGAACTTTCAGCCTTCTTACAGGGCCTTGTTAACCTCGTCCAGCAATGGAAACCGGTGGGCGATTCAGGCCACTAATCCAGGTCTAGCATACTGCCAACCTGAATACCCTTGGAAGTGACCACGCGCCCAGTCGAGCAAGGGCAACCCGGGTCGATTCTGCCCTGCTTCTTCACATGCAGAATCCCTCCAGAAGAGCAGCCGCTCAGGCCGCTGCAAAAAACAGCCGCTGTTACAGAAAAAACCACGTGAAGAAAAAAACGGAGGAGGCAAACGCTTTCAGAGGAAAATAAGAAGTACAAATTTTGTACAAGTTTCAGTTTTTGACAACTGAATTCTGAGTGGGAGTTAACGGTCCGAACCGAAGGGGGAAAGTAAACACCTCTGATGGCAGGTCGACACCCTCAGGGCTCTGTCTTCCCCCGTGGCGCTGTAGCAGCCATGCCTACCTCTCCTAATAAAAAAAGCCTTTTGAGAGAGTCATTCTGAGTGCATTTGAGATCATTATGGCCTAGTTCGCATTTCATAACTCACAGCACGGTCTGCAGCTGCGTTTGCATGTGGAATTTCACTCTGCAATAACCTAGTGGTATTCACAGCTAAACTGAAATGTGCAGGGGGGGGGGGGAACAGAACCTGTAAGGTGACAGCTCCCTACTGCAAGGGAGAAATCCTAGGGCATTGCCAAAAGACATGGTTGTGTCTCTGACCTCCCAACTGCCTTAAATAACTATCATGTGCAAGACTCTGCACCAGCTACAAGCAAAACCACTCGAAGCCCATAAAGTTTGCTGTCCCTGCTGCTCTAACTGCCAGCTGCCCTGGGGCTGCAGAACCAAGAAAAAGGACACACTGACCCCAGCCAAAGATACCAGGGCTACTGGGCAGCTGCAGCCCTTTATTCCCATGAAAAACACAGAATCATAGAATCACAGAGTTGGAAGGGGCCAGACAGGCCATCTAGTCCCACCCCCTGCTCAATGCAGGATCAGCCTAGAGCATCCCCGACAAGTGTTTGTCCAGCCGCTGCTTAAAGACTGCCAGGGAGGGGGAGCCCCCCACCTCCCTAGGCCACTGATTCCACTGTTGCACAACTCTGACGGTCAAAAGGTTTTTCCTAATATCCAGCCGGTACCTTCCCGCCCTTAATTTAAGCCCATTATTGCAAATCCTCTCCTCTGCTGCCAACAGGAACAGCTCCCTGCCCTCTTCCAAGAGACACAGCCCTTCAAATCCTTCAAGAGAGCGATCCTGTCCCCCCTCAACCTCCTCTTCTCCAGACTGAACCTTCCCAAGAAGTCCCTCGGCCTTTCCTCACAGGGCTTCTTGGTCTCCAGGCCCCCGATCCTCCTCGTCGCTCTCCTCTGCACCCGCTCTATTCTGTCCACATCCTTCTTGAAGTAAGGCCTCCAAGAACACCAGCAAAAGAAGGTCCAGCTAGTCTCAACTGGGTAAGAAAGCCAACACTGCCACATTAAGGACATAAGAAGAGGCCTCCTAGATAGACCAGTGGTACATCTAGTCCAGCATCCTGTCTCACACAGAGGCCAACCAGTTCCTGTGGCGGCCCAACAGGGCATAGAGGCCGAGGCCTTCCCCTGATGTTGCCTCCTGGCTCTGGGACTCAGAGGCTGACTGCCTCTGAACATGGAGGTTCCCCTCAGTCACCATGGCTAGTAGCCGCTGATAGACCTCCATGAATTTATTTAGACCCTTTTAAGCCATCTATTCCTGTGGTCATCACGACATTCCCCCGCAGTGAATTCCACATTTTAATCAGTCTGTGTAAAGAAGTATTTCCTTTTGACCCTCCTGAGTTGATGCCCCAGTTCTACCATAAGCCTTGACCTACATGGCCCAAGCAAGCCAGACCTCCTCAGATCTCTGAAGGTTAGCAGGGTCGGCCCTGGTCAGTATTTGGACAGGAGACTGCCAAGGAAGCCCAGGATCACTACACACAGGCAGGCAATGGAAAGCCACCTCTGAATATCACTTGCCTTGAAAACCCTACAGAGTCACCATAAGTCGGCTGCAACTCCATATCCCTTTCCTCCACCACCCCCATCACACTATCATTTCCCTCCATTCCCATTCCCTTGCGAATCTTGTCCTTTTTAGCTTGAAAGTTTGAGGGCAGAGGCGTGCACTGGTAGTGACACTTTGCTATCTAAAAAAATGGGATAGGAATATAATAAACTAGTGAATAATTTGTGCTCCAAAAGCAGATACATTACCAACTTTAAAGACTAAGCAATACAATACAATACCTCGTGGGCACTCCATGAAATTGCTGAGCAGTCGGATTAGAACAGATAAAAGGAAGTACATCTTCACCCAAAGAGTGATTTAACACATGGAATGCCACAGGAGGTGGTGGCGGCTACAAGCATGGGCGGCTTCAAGAGGGAATTGGATAAACATATGGAGCAGAGGTCCATCAATGGCTATTAGCCACAAGGTACAGATAGGGACTCTGGGGCAAGTGATGCTCTGTCTTCTTGGTGCTTGGGGGTGGGGGGCACAGTGGGAGGGCTTCTAATGTCCTGGCCCCACTGGTGGGGCACCTGGTATTTCTGGCCACTGTGGGACAGAGTGTTGGACTGGATGGGCCACTGGCCTGATCCAACATTGGCTTCTCTTATGTTCTTATGTTCTTAAATGCTTACGATTTGTCTAAAGGTGACACACACACACACACGATCACTATTTTCACATCATCCCAC